ATGGCGGCAGCGTTTCCAAAGACTTGCAACAACGACCAGCTCCAGGGCCCCGGTGTGTACAGTATTCCCTTCTTGCGGAAAGGTCTACATAGGACAAACAGGAAGGCTCATCAACACGAGGTTAAAGGAACACAAAAGTCACCTCAAAAATAACAACTGAGAAAAATCGGCAGTAACAGAGCATAGGGCGGACACGGGACACATAGTGGATCTGAGTGGAGCCAACATGGTGGTGAGAGAGAGATTTTGGACCCGACTATACAGAGAAGCATTAGAAATTTACAAAAATCCGAACAATTTCAACAAGGACGGTGGCGTGGATCTGCCAGGTATATGGAAGAGAGTCATTCGGGAAAGCAACCCACTGGAACGTCAACAACGCGCACGAGGTCTCCCACCGGAACATCATAGATCAGTGACCACATCAAATATAAATAGTGACAAAATTAGTAGATCTCCAATTTCCAAGTAACTTCTGAAGAGAGCGAATCTAACCTAGCTCGTGGCATGTACCTACTATCTGTGGCACAATATACAATAATGTATGAAGAATAACTTCAAAAGAATATTAAATTTTTAGTGTGAAGTAGGCAGCATCTTCCTTTTTTTAAAATAACGTATCAACCTAAAGTGAAACAGAGATGCCATTTGGTATGACCAAAAAATATAGATTTTCAATTCCAAAGCAAATATAAATTTTTATAAATTTTGTAAAAGCAATTTTACTGTTTGTTGAATTATTATTTTTTGGTTATTTATTAAATACGTAGGTACACATCTACATACGTACGTACAAATATATTTTTCTCAAAATATGCATCTTTCCATTGCATATATTTTAAATAAAGCATCTGCTAATTAAAGAAAAAATGTGATTTTTTATGAGTACCAAAATTCAAATTCGATGTTTTAAAAATTCAAAAGTTAAAGGTCAAATATAAATAGCTAATTCCAGTTTTATCTCTGTTTTAAATATATAAGATAAATAGGGGTAGCAATACAGAATTTAAATCACCTTTCTTTCTTTTGAGACGCTAAATTATTCAAATTGTAGACATTTTATCGGAAATACTTTCACAGCGAAGTGAATCCCTTACCCAGGATTTTCAGGATTGCATACTAAAGCAGGATGATATTTCTGGATGTTTGTCTTTTACATTGTTTCGGACTTTTATCAGATAGCTACTAATTACATTCTTTGCAAAAAAGGTGAAATTTCGGCTGATACAACAAATAATTTTAATAAGGCATAATGGACATATTTTCTAGCAGTGAAGCTCTTTCTAAGCCTAACAGACAATTAATCTGAAAAGATTTTTATTTAAATAACAATTATTTCGACCATTGCCCTTATTAATATTTGAATTCCTTTTGATCCGGTTGCTCGAATGAACATATGTAGGTACTTAAAAACACCGAACGAGAGTAATTCTAAGAAATAGGTTTAGTATATAACAAAACATAATGCAATTTTGCAGTATTCTACAGTATGTCAAATTGATTGTAGAAATTTATAAAATGTAATGGAAAATCACTTTGATAAATTGAAAATATCAGTATTTCATTTTAACGTCATCATTTTCATTAGATATTTTTCCAGATACCTACGTATCGTTTTCCAGATTTATTAGAAGATATGCGTAAAAACAGAAAATCTTCAAATGTTCAATACGATTTTTGAGTATGTTGCTCGAAATATTCACCCTTCATCCAATATAAAACGAAAAAACACTATTTTGTAATAATTTGTTTACTTTGCATTTGACTTTAGATATTTTCATTTAGTGCAAAATGGTATAAAACTTTGGAAAACTGAACTAGTAATGTTGACAATGCATTAATAAGTTCAAACAGTATCGGTTAAAGTGGAGAGAGACAAGTAATTTTGGAAATGTGTTTTACATAAGTTAAGAAAAATACATATCAACATTGGCACCGGTATCAGTAGAGGAAATAACAGGTGTTTCAATGTTTGTTATTCTCGAGAAAAATGAAGGGTGCGAAATCTACTATATTAATTTAAAATCACTGTAATTCGGAAGCTATCACTTTGTGTTCGAAATTTTTTACGGCAACAAAAATTTTGCCGAACAAATGTATAAGTACGACAGTTATTTTTCATATGGAGAGCAATAATAAGTCAGAAATTCAGTGCCGCAGTGCAGCAATGTCGTAAATATCGTAATTTCCTCTTCTCAAGACAAGACAAAATTAACAAAGATATGGAAGGTTACATTAATGATGATAAACTACTAACATATTTGCAGACGAGACTGTCCTGTTTACAACCAAACACACGAGTGCAATTCCTCTAACTTATAATTTCATATGATGTGATGGGAACTGTAAAACGAAAAGTCTGATATAGAGTACACAAATATATACATTTCTAGCGTCCATATTTTGAATTTATATCCGAAAGGGCTGAAGTAACCTATGGCCAAATATAATAATACAAAGTTCAATATAAAATGCAGTAACAGGTGAATGTAAAATACAAATCGCATTTTACATATTGAAAACATGAATATAAAGTTTGTTTAAAGTAAAGTGAATGTTTGCTTTCGCCAATAAATAAATCGTTGGTTTTATGAGCTACGCTACTATAACATAAACCGACGCATACAATTGAATATTTAGATAACGTCGAGATTGTCAACGTCAACTGCTGCTGCCATCTTTGAGAATGTGAATCAAATGTGTTGTTCCAAAAAATCTAAATCTCTAGTTGAACAACTTTATTTAGTGCAAACTGATAACACAGGGCGACCAAAAGCGAAGGATTTTGGTGCGCTGATTATGAATCCGAGCTCAGAATTGGCCCATCACCCTAGGTTCTCGAGATATTTTAACCTCAAAGTGGAAAAAATCGCGGTTTTTCGCTATATTCGGGGTCAGATTACAACGTGAATTAACTTTTTTTTCTAAAATCGCGTTAAACCATCTCAAAGTACCACTCTTACCTTTCTAAGCGCACTTCGATTTTTTTGGAAATCTTTTTTTCCATAGAGATTTGATAGATTGAAGTTTAGTACTTCAGCGATTTCGTTACAACATGGAAATAAACTAAATTTGTCCAAGAACGAGATATAGAGTCGCTGAATTTGAAAACACCGGCGGACCTGCTCCATAACCTCAATATTTCAAGACTTTCTAACCTAAAATTGAATACTATATGAAGCAGATACCTATGTATACACGCTGTTACATTCGCATGTTAAGCTCATGACAGATTCATCATAATTCGCTATAACCTACGACACGTTAACCTAAATGCGCAATAACCAGCGAGGGTTAAACCCACGACAGGTTAACCTAAATTTTCCATGTTGTAACGAAATCGCTGAAGTACTAAACTTCAATCTATCATATATCTATGGAAAAAAAAGATTTTCAAAAAAATCGAAGTGCGCTTAGAAAGGTAAAAGTGGTACTTTGAAATCGTTTAACGCGAATTAAGAAAAAAAAAATTATTATATTTATTAACGTTGTAATCTGACCCCGAATATAGGTTAGAATATCTCGAGAACCTAGGGTGATGGGCCAATTCTGAGCTCGGATTCATAATCAGCGCACCAAAATCCTTCGGGTACACTAGGTCCTCTTTCTGGTTCTGAAAATTGTCGGCCTGTGTAATTTAAAAGGTTCTATTTTACGATATTTATATCTAGAAAATATCTTGATAAAACTAAAATTTAAACCCGTTGGAAGTGAGCAGAAAAAATATGATCTCAGGGAAGATGTTTCTGTCTCTCTCTGTATATTAAAAACAGAAGCAATTTTCACTTAGCTTAAAATAAAATGTTTCGTTTCTGTAAGAAGAATAAATGCAGCACACAATGCGGTTAGTAAAATAATAAAATTTATTTAAAAATTTTGTTTAGAGAGTTTTAAGTGAAAGCGGCATTTTCCAAAAATGGTCCCCCTCGCGAAATACATCAGTGAGCATTCCAGTTGGTTTAAATTTCGATATATAAACCTTAGCCATTTTTTCCTTGACTTACTAACATACGTAATATGTTCCATAAGAAAGAGAAAAGCAGCAAACTTTTTAATACGCCTCATTTATCTCATCAACTATAACAATGCCATTAATCTTTATTGTATCCTTGGTCAGGAATAAAACTTAAATCTTGATATAATTGAATAACTGAATAGTTTTCTATAAAGTTCGTTTATACCAGATAATATTCACAGTAGATTATTGTAAAATTGCATTTGTTGTGGTAATCACTTGTTTGTTTGGCTGTACTTTTCCTCATAAATTCTCAGATATATCTAACAGATCTACACCGTAAAAAATGAGTAAATTTTCACTCAAAATCAACAAAAAATTTTATTAACAGGAAACCACATCTAATTTTGTCGAAATAAATGCACTATTCGTTGAGTAATGTTGTCTAAACTATTTGTTAGCTAAATAATTCTTATATTGGTTACATTGAATGACTTTTGAGAAAGTTTCTTAAACTATGTGTGTCATATTGGTACACCACACATAAAAGTAACTAAAATCAATTCTTGGTTAGAACTAATTAAACGTATTTATTGTCTGACATCAGAGGCCAAACTGCGCGTCTTTCTCTGTTTGTACAAAAAATTGTTTCCGCTACTCAGAAATGGTTAATATTAAGAACGAATTGAATGACTTTTACACAGTATGTTCTTATTCTCACATATTTTAGTTCTTCTAACTAAAAATTGTGCTCATAAACTCATTTCTCTGTTAAGGTATTAAGTCCACTTATGTCCTCTCAAAAATAACATTGAATTTACAGCGTTATTTTTTGCTGTATAAATAACATTCGATATAGTGAACTTCAGGTTTTTTCTCGTAATTATAAATATCATTTCTTACTATTAATCACAATATATCACAGTTTCTGAATTTTTGTGCCGCACTGTAATGAGTATAAGCGTAGTGCTGTGGAATAGTGGATATTTACATTCTTGTAGACAATCCTTATTTAACAAATTAGGATTTCCAAACAAAGCCTTACCTGCGGTTGATAGACAACGCCTCTGTGCATGGAGCTAATTTCCAGCGTTAGGTTGTAGAGTTGCCTCTGCATCGGATCTATCGCCACCCACAGGGCTAAGATGAGGGCGTCCGTAATTAACGGGATTAATATTAGCCCAATTAATTGTTTATCCTTCAGCAATTTGTCTTTCACCAAACCCGCGCCAAGGTACGTAAACAGACGGTGCACCCGGTAGGTTTTGGCGAACATCGATCCAAAGGCCAGAGAGAAACCAGCGGAAAGGAAGTAAACACGTACCTAGAACTTCTGCAGTTTAGGCAAAGTGGGAAGTTGATATGTTAATTGGTTGAAGTCTCAATTAATTTGTTAACATTGACATTCAAAAAGCAGACGTAAGATGAATACCTACAATTTTTTTATTAATTGATACAATCATACCTGTATAAATATAGACAATCGTATCTGCATTGATAAAAGCCCTAAACAAGGTTAAATAGAAGTATTCATCTTTCAGAATGTTGATAGAGATTTTAAAAAGTATGTTTCAAACAAAGAAAACAGTCTTCGTAAGAAGACTGAAAATAAATATGGAAACTTAGTACAGTAATTTGCGGACATTAGACGACTGCAAATGGACCGAAATTTACTTGTAGACCAGGGCGGATCTGTTTTGAGGTGGATGTGAGAGGAAGCAAGCAATTTTTTTCTGGATTACCTTCAGTACAACTCACATAATAAAAGTGTAAATCCCTAGATCTGGGCGAGGTCCGGAACATTTGCAAAATTGCAAAAATGATTAAAAAATTGAAAAAAATATCTATTTTATCTGAATTTTTTACTTATATCTTGGAACCTATTCACTTTGGAAGAATATTGAAGAGGAAAAAAGTTTTAGAATTGAATTTTGCACAATATACTGCATGTTAAAAATGTTCTTTATTACCGATGTTGGAAAATAGCAATAATTGATAAAAAAAAGGTAAAATAATCAAGTTTTTAGATAATTTTTTAAAAATATTTTAATTGCTCCGAAGGCATTCTAATTTTGGTAAAAAAAACTTTAGATAATAAAACAACACAACATTAGAATCGGTTCTATAGTTTTCGCAAAATAATTTTTTGAAAAAAATTTTCGAATTTTCAAAATGTTGCACTGCCTCAAATAACGCATCTAGATGCTTGAAAATAATAGAAATCGGTTGATTAGGACGGCCACAGTAAATTCTTAAAGTTAACACCTTTTTTTTATTTTTAAACAATTAGATTACATTTATTAATTTGCAATTTAGTTTTTTTCAATAATTATAATTTCAAAGTTCTATTTATTCTTAATTTTATCTGTACCTATTTAACAAAACAAATTATTTCCAAATAAAACTTTTTTTAATTTGTTTAAACAAAAATTATTTAAATAATTGTAATAATTATAACTAAATACATTCATATTCAGTGATGAAATATATATGTAAACAAATTTTTTAACTGAAAAATTACAATAGCATAGGGTAAAATATACAGTATATTTAATGCATAAATAATAAACTTTTTAAAAAATTTAAAAAAAATTATTTTGCGAAAACTCGAACCGATTTTAATAAAATTTGGCGTGTTGTTTTATTATACTCAGTTTATTTTTAAAAAATTATTCAAAAAACTTGATTATTTTGCATTTCTTCATCAATTATTGCTATCTTGCAACATTGGTAATACATTTTAACATTTTTAACTTCAGGTATATTGTGCAAAATTCAATTCTAAAACTTGTTTTCCTCTTCAATATTCTTCCAAAATGCATACGTTCCAAGATATAAGTAAAAAACTCAGATAAATTAGGTATTTTTTCAATTTTTTAAACATTTTTGCAATTTTGAAAAATGTTCCTGACCTCGCTCAGATCTAGGGATCTACACTTTTCTTATGTGAGTTGTACTGAAGGTATTCCAGCAAAAATTAGCTTGCCCCCTCTTACATCCATGAAGTGGGATATTTCGACAGATCCGCCTTGGTCTATTGGTCAAGAAGAGATGTTTTCATAAGGAACAATTTATTTTTTACAAAATATCATTAAAAGTGCAACGTTTAGAAAATCATCCTGGCAATTGCTGTTATACAGGGTTACAAGTTTTTAATTCTCCAATACCTTTCTTATACAATATCTTTCTTATTTTAAGAGATACAGACATGAGCAGAAATATGCTGATATTCGGAGGAAACCAATTTTATGCTGTTTTTTAATCGTATTTCACTTGTTTTTCAAAATTTTAAGACAAAAATATGTAGTCTGATATAAAATGATGTGATCTTTGCTGTCAGTATTAACGTATCTCTAAAAATGTGTGCAGAGCCGTAGTTAACGTTTGGTTTTGTTATTGACACTTCAATATTGCGTATTTTTGCCTTATTAGAAGAAGGGAAATCCTCTTTATAACGATGTATAATTTATGGGGTTTAAATAAATAATTAATTAATTATTGAATATAATTTATAATTTTAATAAAATGTGAAGTAGCCATGTGAAAGCTAACAATTTTCTCTCATAGTATACAGGGTCGGAAAGTCTCCATGGTTCATCGGCCGTTACATGAGAGCGATAAAGTAGGTCATAGAAATCCATGTGATAGAGAAGGATGGCTATAATGAAGGCCTCTCATAGTCACCGCCCGTTTCGCCCTTCCACAAATAAGATCCACTTCCACTTGTAATTCAATATACGTTAATACAATCCATTAACAGAGGGCAGCACAATTTGTCTAAGGTGAGGCAGCCCTAGAAAGAGTGATGGCAGATCTACAGATTTTTTTGGAATTGGGGAAATAGAGAATTTTGCTTTATTTCTTGGGATTTTTAAGTCATTTTAAAAAGTATACTTAAATAACAACTAAATGAACTTTAAATGCAGCTGAGCACTATACTCCATTTGAATAACTTCTCAGTAGGGGAAACAAGGTCACTAGATTTACAAACAGAGGTATCTACTAGCTACAGTAAAAAGTTTTCTTTGTTACGCGTTGTGCTGCCCTTTGTTAACGGATGGTATTAACATATCGGAATACCGAAGTCGAAATTGTATAAGTAGTGACATCTATTAAAGAAAAGCCAAACAACGAAAACAAAAATGACCACCGGTCGCTGAATTACAAGTGGAAGTGGATCTTATTTGTGGAAGGGCGAAACGGGCGGTGACTATGAGACGCCTTCATTATAGCCATCCTTCTCTATCGCACGGATTTCTATGACTTACTTTATCGCTCTCACGTAACGGCCGATGAACCATGGGGACTTTCCGACCCTGTATAACATTTTTTTAACGAGCTTAATAGATTTTCTTCGTTTTATTTTACAGTCACAATACAATCTCCACTGTAAATACCGACAACGATAATATAATCGAATATATTTCTTTTTTAGATGGTAGAGAATTCAGTTTAGTTGTCACTATGACGCTTGAGCGGCGGCGGTTTATTCGGACGCCAGTTTCTGATTACAGTGCAGAAAGCTACGACTCAGGCAGCTACATTGAAGACACAGTATGTTCGGGGGTCTAGAGAGATTTAAACACAGGAGTAAGAGTCACAGTCGATAGATTTAAAAAAAGTTATATACTAGGTACCTACTACTATAAAGCTAAGGTTAGACGGTGACTATGTGATGCGCAGATGATGACAATTCAGTGGCTAGACGGTTGTCATATAGGATTGCTCGCTCCAACTGGTGGATATGAACTGAATTCCTAATTCAACTCAACTGCCAAGCTTCTACGGCGAATGGTAGCGACTGCGCAGTTCTTACAAGCTAGACTTGGAAGAATCATCGTACTTACTCCAAACGACGACCTTTCTACTGCTGGAGCTGGTGACAGACTGAATTGCTTTCGCTGGCCGGTGGCTGTATACTGATTTTAGATTCCGACTGCTAGACAGACAAAGTGCGCCTGCGATTTCGCGCTCGCGCCGCCGCCGGCGCCGTGTTGGGTTGATTTAGACGGTGTTAAAAGATTCAAATCGCGGTGCGATATTGTACGTTTATTTAAATAAAATAGAAACGAAAATAAAACTTCGGGGTGTCTCAGGACCCTGTCTGAATATCACTTCGTTACAAAATAAATAATAAATAATACTGCACTTTTGAATAAAGGAAAAGTGTGAATCGCCCACTTAACTCATAAACATCAATCTTATCCAATACATAATTAAAGTTTTTCTGTGAAGAAATGCCTGTTGTTAACAAGCATCAGCCGTTAAGAGAAAAGCATTTCCAGCAAGTCTGGTTCTGTAACGTAAAATTACTCGTCACCATTTTAACAAAAACTTAGAATAATGTTCTTGTTTATCAGGCTGATGTTCTGTGAACATATTGCTTCAAAAGCGAAAAACTAAACGTAGAAGAAGTTACAGAAGTTGAAAACGCTCGAAACGCTTTACTCGCTTTCTGCGAGGCCGTGACCCAAGACAAATCCGGGATGATGACCAATGAGGTACCTCAATGCCCCCTTCTCAGTGCTCGTATATGTACCATCAGAAAGGTTTGGAGCGCTTTTCTTAAATTCGTGTTTTTTAAATTCTTAAGATCGCAGGGTCATCGATGTTTTAACAAAATTCCTTTCAAACCTGCCATTTGGATTGGTGAACACGGTTCTTGAACACACATTTGGTAGTTGTCAACCAGTTGAATTTTTAACTTGGAATCCATTGTTAGCTACTCAAATTTTATTGTGCATCTTATGCGCCTGAACCTAAAGATTTCAAAAAGAAAAGGGTTTCCCTCATCTTTATATAGACAGTCGAGCTACAGTTTTATATTGTATCTATATAATTCAAAATTAAATATCCGCTTACAGTAATTTATCAGAACTTGAAGATTTATAACAGCTTCCGGGAAAAATAAATTAACTAAATTTGAAACAAATGAATCCATAGAAATTTTAGTTTGTTTTTGTCAAATTGATGATTAATACTTTCAGTTACTGTGGCATGTAACAAAAAATCTCCCGGGCCGGGGTGTAGAAAAATACTAATTTTCATTTTGACAATGAAATATGTCAGGGAATCCACTATTCCCAAAACGCTGATGAACATGTACATAGTTAATTATAAATTAACTAAAATAAACTGCCGGAGGGCACAAGATTGGTTTTATATGGTAATTGCTTTCCGGTGCTGTTCGCGACTCCAGAATAGCACATGTGAAAACCAATTTCAGTCCCCACACTGATATTATATGAGAAGTGTCATTTAGTAAAAGACATGCAATTGAAATACAACTGTACTGAAGCTCTCCACATTTATCTCTTTATATTC